AGCTAGGTAAAGTAAAAATAATATACATTGATTGAAAAAAGGCTAAAGTTATAAACATTGTAATCTTAAAATGATTAAGTGACATGGTAGAATTATGGGAAATTATTTTTCACCTTTTTTCTAAATTTTATACAATGAATATATACTAGTTTTGTAATAGCAAAAGCCCACCATACATTTCTAGGAGTAGAATTGGTAGGTGCTAGGTCAAAAGGAAAGAATTTAAACATTTTTTATGTAATAGGCATTTCTTCCCACATGATCTTTAGTGATCTTATGTCTTATTTTGGTTCAAAAAACTTTCTCAAATGCCTTGATAGGAACCCTTATTTTTCTTATTTCAAAAATGTAACTAACCTTACAGTGCTTTATTTTTAGTCTTCTATGTTTCATGAATTTAAGCAGGTCTTTTAGAGGTAGCCAGTTGTTGGATTCTATGTTCTAAAAAAAAAATCAGTTAATGACTTTTTGGTATAACTGTGTCTCAGTGATTTAGAAGCTGTGTTTTATTGACATAGTAAATTAGATGTGACCTTGGGGAAATTACTTAATCTGTGCCCCATGTTTCTCATTTATAAAATAGAGGTAATATTAGTACCTACCTCATAAGGTTGTCATAAGGAATAAATGACGAAATACATGTAAAGCACTTAGAATGGTACCTTGCCAATAGAAGCACTCAGTAAATGTATATTAATTATCGTTTATCCTGTTGGAGAGTTTAGCTCTCCAGCTTTTTATGACAGCTTTCTATGCATATAAACAAATATGGAATAAATAAATGTGATATCATACATCCTTTTCTTGATTTGTCACTTAACATAACTGAGGACATTTTTTTTATATCAATATAGATCTGTGCCATTGTTTTAAATGCTTACATAGTATTCTATTGTGTGTACTGTGATTTACTAAATATTTCCTTATTGGACATAATTTAGGCTAATTTTAGTTTCTTGGTATTATAAATGTAGCTGTAATTAATACCCTTACAATAAATTTTTTTACTGATAACATTCAGTGCTTTATTATATTCAGTTACTCTTCTAAGTATTTTACATAAAATTAATCTTAACATGAACTCCAAGAGATAAGTATTATTGTTATCGATATTGATAGATAAGGAAATAGACACTAAGTATTTGCCCACACTCCAGATATTCTGTCCTTGTGGCACTACTGATCATTTGTTCTCCTATTTGTGCAATAGTATTATTACTTTTTTTTTTTTTTTAATGTCCTAAGGCCTCACAAAACCAGAAAGACTTCTGCACCCAGTTTTTCTTTTTATTTCTTTGTTCCACCTCCCAAAAATTTAGACTGATTTACTATGCCTTACAGCAGGGGTTCTGTGCCAGGAGTAATTTCATGCTCTGCCCCAGGGAATCTGGCAATGTCTGGGGCCTTTTTTCGTTATGTCACATTTTTGGTGTGTCACACTACACGATACTGGCATGTAGTGGGTAGAGACTGTAGATGCTGCTAAATAGCCTACAATTCATAGGACAGACTCTGGAAACGGGAATATCTGGCCCAAAATGTCAGTGGTGCCACAGTTGAGAAGCCCTGCATTACAACAAAAAGGGTACCCAAGACTACTAGCGGTTTATTAATTAAACATTCAGTAAAATAAGATAGTCCTATACTCTGGAACTTACAGTCAATTTTTATAGAATGTATGCTATTCAGGTGGTCCATTCATACAAACAAGTATAAATCCACATAGTCTAGACTGAAAGTATTCAAAACCTTGACGATATTAAACTGTAATAAATTAAAAATATTAGGTAAGGTAAAAATTAATTACATCAATTACTGTGATATCATCAGGATATTTGTGGCTCTTGCAATAAAATATATAATCGCTTATATATAAATGTGGACTGTGGAATAATTAATGTTATTTACAGGCTGATAACTTTTTAAAAACAAACTTTTATGCAAAGTTGATGGAATGACTTACCCACCAAATCTTTTTGCAAATGATATCTTGTCAATTCTTTTTAAAAATTATTTATTTCAAAATATTAAGGGGGCGATAAATTCTTAAAAGTGTTAATGTTTTGTAAAGAACACCATGAGTTCCAAGACTTCCTAGAAAACTCATTTAAGATTTTTTTCCCCCGAGGTAGCATGTGAAATACTGTTCTAGCTACAGAAGCCATGCATTTTCATAGTGCTCTACCTTTGCTTAACCTTTTTTATTTTATTTATTTATTTAATTTAATTAAATTAATTAATTTATTTTTGAGACAGAGTCTTGCTCTGTCACCCAGGCTAGAGTGCTGTGGAGTCAAGCCTAGCTCACAGCAACCTCAAACTCCTGGGCTCAAGCAATCCTCCCACCTCAGCCTCCCAAGTAGCTGGGACTACAGGCGTGTGCCACCACAACTGGCTAATTTTTTCTATTTTTCTAAGCTCTTTTCTTATTTGTATTTCCCTCTATTTCCTTTTTTCTTCTGAAGAATGCCTACTTCTTTGTGATCCTGCTTAAATGTCTCCTTCCCAAATCAAGCAAGCAAACAAACAAACAAAAATAACAACAACAAAAAACCCCAGAATCTTTTCTTCTTCAGGGCCCTTACAGCATCTGTTCTTTCTTCCATTTGTCATTCGCTAAGCAGGTACTTATTAGTACCTTTCATGTTCCAGGCACTTTTTGTTAGGTTCCAGGTGGGTATGTAGGAGATAACCAAACATTGTTCCTGCCCTCGTGGAACTCACAGACTAGCGGGAGAGAAGACAACAAATAGGTGATCAAAATGAAATATGTAATACAAATTGTCAAAGGTACTATGAAGAAAAAGAACTGGTAGAAAGCAAGAGGGTTTTACTTTGCAATGGGTGATTAGGAAAGGCCTCTCTGAAGTGAGGATGTTTAAGCTAAAACTTTAGTGAGAAGGAGGTAGTCAGTAGACTACTGGGAGTGGGGTGGGAGAAGAGCCTTCTAGGTAAAAGAAATGGCCCTATAGGAAGGCCCTGTGAGTGGAAAGGACTATTTTATTGTTCCAGGAACTAAAAGAAGTCTATAATAGGCTACAGCAGAGAGAAGAGAATAAAGCCAGAGAAATTAAAAAGTAAGAAGGGGCCAGAACAGGCAGAATCTTAGGCCATGGTAAAGAGTTTAGGTTGTATTTTATTTCCAATAGGAAGCTATTGAATGATTTAAGTAGGTGATATGGTTTGGATATTTGGCCCCTCCAAATCTTGTGTCGAAGTTTGATCTCCAGTGTTGGAGGTGAGGCTTAGTGAGAGGTGTTTGGGTCATAGGAGTAAATCTCCCGTGAATGGCTTATGCCCTCCCTATTGATAATGAGTGAGTTCTAATCTTGTTAGTTCACATGAGAGCTGGTTGTTTAAAAGAGCCTGGCACCACCTCCTCTTTCTCTTTTTATTCCTCCCACCATGTGACACTCCTGTTCCCCCTTTGCCTTCTGCCTGCACCATGCTTGTACAGTCTGCTGAACTGTGAGCCGAATAAACCTCTTTATAAATTATCCAGCCTCATAGCAGTGCAAAAAATGGACTGGCAGAGAAGGGGAATGCTGTGATCTAATTTATATTTTTAAAGAGTACATTGGAGAGAGGAAGAGTGAACACAGGAGGCTAATTATTAATAGTAAGTAGTCTATTGCAGTAGACCAGGTGATATATGATGATGGCTTAGACTAGTAGGTTTAAGGAAGTGGAGATGGAGAGTAGTGGGTGGATTTGAGCACTATTTACTAGGTGGTTTGACAGGATTTTATTGATTAGAAATAGGGAGTGACAGAAGAATTGATTCAGAGATTTCTGGCTTGAATGGATGGCTGACAGTGCTGTTTTTTGAGGTATTGAAGATTGGGTTGAAAGAACAGGTTTGGTGGGAGGATCGATTAAGAGTCCAGTTTCAGGAGTATTAAGCTTGAGAAACCTAGAGTTTGGATTTCAGAAAACTGACTGGTCTGGAGATGGACATTTGGAAATTGTAACCATAGTGATGGTATTTTAAACCATGGGAGTAGATATCATCTAGAGAATGAATATGAAGAGCAAAGAGGGCATGAGGGCAAGCTCTGGGAATTCCGGTATCCAAGGGGTTGGGTAGAAGAGGAAGAGTTGGCAACAGGAAAGGAGACTGAGAGACTGAATGGAGAGCAACTAAATGTGCAGTGGAGCATGGGGTCGTGGAAGTCAAGACAGGAGTGTATTTCAAAGAGCAAGTTGTCAGTTTATGATAGAGTAAGATGAGAATTAAAAAGTGACCGTTGGATTTGGCAGCATGGAGGTCACTGGCCTTCTCAAGAACAGATTAAATGGAGTGGTGGGAGTGTAAGCTGGACTGGAGAAGTTAAGAACCAGTGGGAAGTGGGGAAGTAGAGATAAATGCGTAAAAACAATTCTATTATAACACTTGTTTCATATTTGGTTTATATGGCTGCTTCCCTACTAGGCTGAGTTTTTTGAGGTCCGGAGTGATGTTATAAACATTTGTGTTTTTGATCATTAAGGGCTTTACTTTTTGGTTGTCACTTAGAAAATGTTTTCATATCCTATAGATTTTTTTGGAGCATGCTTTTGTCCTCCTCCCTTTCATTAGATCATGAAATGAGGGCTTCACTTATATCAAAAAGAAGTAGCTAGTCATGGCGGTGCATACCTATAGTCCCAGCAATTCAGGAGGCAGGAGGATCACTTGAACCCAGCCAGGAGTTTGAACCAGCCTGGGCAACAAAATGAGACCCTGTCTCAAAAAAAAGTATATATTATATATACTTGCTATATTCAATTTATTCTACATTTGTATATTGGTTTTCTTCTTATCCTGCATCATCTCTGAAATCTGAAAGGGTAGGAACTGAACCTGTGTTTTGTTTTTTTTTTTTAACCATGCAACAAAACCTTTATTAACATTTTGAACAGGTTCAGCTATTACAGAAACTGAAAATTTCTAAACTTAAATTGGGCCAAATGGCTATAGTGCAGAGTAATGCCTTTATTGGGCACTGTGAATATAAGACTGAAGAATTAACAGCCACCCCTCAAGCGGAGGACCAGGTGCAGGGTCGACTCTTTCTGGATGTTGTAGTCAGAAAGAGTGCGCCCATCTTCCAGCTGCTTGCATGCAAAGATGAGCCGCTGCTGATCAGGGGGGATGCCTTCCTTATCCTGGATCTTGGCCTTCACATTCTTGATGGTGTTGCTGGGCTCCACCTCCAGGGTGATGGTCTTGCCGGTCAGGGTCTTCACAAAGATTTGCATTTTGACCTGTTTGCAAACGCGAGG